GAATTTATTCAGGAATCAAGGAACAATGACCCCACTCACATTTGTGTTCTGTTGTCTGTTAAATATAGAAAACTGCAAAAAACCTCTGGGACATTCTTTCTGGTAAGTTACATGTTTCAACTCTAACTCATGCCTACCTCTGAGCATCCTGTGGTGAGGAAGAGTTTCCTCTGATCTGTAGCGGAGTTTGTTACTTCCACAGAGGACAGATCCTTGAATGAAAGATGGGAAATAAATTATGATAAGAAAGAGAGAGGATGATAAAAAGTAAGAACAGATAAAGGTCAAACTGCACACAAAAGTCATGTCATGTTTGCAGGTCTCCCTTGAAAAAGAGATCTATGATCTCAATGGGACCAATCTGGTTAAATAAAGGTTTGAAATTAAATGAATGTAAATTCAAATATATATTTGACCTGCTTCACATCCTGATAGAAGAACATCAGCTTCTTGGATCCGTTTGCAGCAAAGAAATCATCCACCAGACTGAACTGAAAGAATACATTATAAATATGACATTTCTGAGTAAAATACTACAGTTTCAGAGCGAGGCGGCGATGCTACCTTGTCGTCAGAGATGAGGGCGTCCTCCACCTCGGCCCCCCCGAGCGTCCCTGCGTCCTCCAGCCTGCTGATCAGGTATCTGTGTCGGGGATCCAGCGCTGCCCGCCGCTCCTCCTTCAGCGCTCTCTGCTGCGTCGCCATCTCTCTCCGCTCCTCACTGGATAACAGCAGCGGCCTTCTGCCGGAAAACTGCAAACAAATGTCACAATTAAATTCAGTAAATTCAGAAATAAAAAATATAAGGTAAGAAATGCAGTCTGATATCATTGCAACACATTCTTCCTCTATTTTAAAGGACACCTATCATGCTATATTTAAATTATATATTGTAGGGCCATACCTATATAAGGTATATTTATACATTTCTGTTTTCAAAATACCAAACAGATCATGCATTTTAGCCATGCCTCATTTCGCTCTATGTGCTGTTCTCCAGCCCTGTTTTTGCAGGGGGCTGATTCTGTGAGCTGCAGCTGACCACGCCCCCCTGCAGGAGAGGGGAGCCGCTCTGATCAAGTCAGAAGAGGGGGAGAAAAATAGATCTCCGTCCTCCGTGTTTTATTATATTATGATATAGAGTCGTTATTCATTTGTTTTAAAGCTCAATAAATAACAAAGAAGACCTTTGACCGGCACTTTTCTAATTTTGTTCGGAAGATTTAAACTTTAACGGACATCTTGACCGGCGAAAGAAAACCTAACTGAAACTCTGCCGCACGGTCCCCTCGTTCCTTGGAAGAGGCGGAGAGGTGGGTGTTTGTCATCTGCTGGTGGACTAACCGGAGAGAATTACAGTGCTTGCCTCGACGGGGAGGGATTGCATTGAATTAAAGCAGCGGGAGCAAACGCTTGCCTCGGGGAGGGAGAAAAAGAGCCACAGCGGAGAATAAACAGAAGGGGAACCATGGCAACCATGCGCGGGAAGTCTTCTTCGCTGCTCTTGTGGCAGACTACAGCGCCACTTACAGGCCTGGCATATGTACTACAGCGTCTCCAGCGCTTTCGAGCGGCAATGGCCGGCCGTGGCCCAACCCCACATTCCCCTGATAGGTGGAGAGTTGGCCCAATAGCCGTAGCGCCACCGTCCTGACGTCAGGACAGTGTTCAAATCTGGATCAGTTTTTATCAGTTCCGTTGCAGCCCCTTTTTTAGAGATTTGGGTATGGAGGAAAATAGAGAGGGTTGTGTTTTCTGACACTTGGTGAGTTCCCTGGAACACCGGTGACACATATTCATGTATAAAAGACGTGCAAAAGTGCATTTTGCATGATAGGTCCCCTTTAACTTCCCATCTACATGTCCCATAATGCAACTCCACACCTAACGCATTTGAAGTAGATTTGGATAGGTTATGTTTTTAGCAGATAATGTATCGAGCAGCAACTCCCTCAACATATTATTGATTCAGACTTGTAAATCTTTAGCCGCAACCTGTCTAAAGGACGCCGTCGAGGCACAGTTCTTAACCGTTTAAGTTACCGTTGTAGTGCCGAGAGAAGGGAGTCGGAGGCGGTGCAATGAAGGTACAAAGCTGGCTTTATTGAGCAGCAGAAATGCACATGTTGTCGGGTCGCAGCCCGGGAAGAGAAGAGAAAGCGAAAGGGAGGGCACGCAGTAAGTACCAACAACATATATGTCCGTGTGGAAACAGTACCCCCAACCTGTAGTTCCATGAGTGAATTATGTAACCTAGTTAATTAGTGATCACTACACCGTTAAAGTTATACAAGCCTATACATAGAAAGAAAGAAAGACCAACTTGCTTATTTTGTTAAGTAAATGCACATAGCACAATATCAACACACTGCCAGAGACCAAGCAAGTCATCCAAATGTGAGTAAAGCAAATGTGATTGAAGGAAAACATGTTAGAATTGTCTGTTTAAGGCATCCAAGTAGTTTGATAGAAAGCAAAGGAAGGCAGCCGCGACACACAGTTAGTTAAAATACTTGCATTTTTTTCTGACAGGCGGTTAAGTAACGACTTTTACGTAAACTTACATTCAAAATATGTTCGGGCCTACATGTCCTTTCAATATACTGTACATCCATGGCCTACACTTTTAGAATAATAACGATGATTTCTCCTGGGAGGGATATAATCCTGGATTCTTGACGCTGGGTCTCCTTTTAGTCTAATGCAGATTTGAGTTCGATTTTGCTAATGGAAGATGCAAAAAATATTTTAAGATTATTATTTATTATAAGTTATTATAATTTAATTTCACTACAAAGTGAAATAAAAAAAATAAAAATTCCTTTCTTAAAATCTTGCATTTACAGTAGTTCTAGTTAAATCACAGCAGCTCCCTCTGCAGACATTAAAGCTTTAAACCACTTTGACTCACAGAGCTGCTGCTGCTGGGGGAGGGGGCAGCAGGCGGAGACATCATGTGATTATTGGCTCTCAGGTTCTGGCCTCCGATTCGCTGATGTTCTCTGCCAGCCACATCTGAAAAATAAATCACATTCACACAATTTTTGTTCTCGTTTTTTGTATTCATTTACTTTAACCATACAATGAATTTAAACAGCAACAATGAACAGCAGCCCATTAAATGGTATAAACTTGTTTTAGTTAAATGTAACTAAATGTACCTGCATAAGAACAGAGACAAGCAAAACCTAAATTATGTAAGGGCATTAAATCATGAGTGATACATTATTACTTAAAACCACAGTTAGATTTAGCTTTGGTGTCTAATGTTGCACAAAGTAAGAGGAACAAATAGTCAAATGTAAACTTAAAATTAAAAAACCATCTGAAATAAAACTGTAGGAGCTGTGCAGTTCTGAGATGGTAGTATTGTGAAATACTAATACTAGAGTAGTAGCTGTAATAATAGTTACCAATTGCAGTAATATTTGGAATAAAACCTGCAAAAATACACTAGTAACAATAAGTCTCCATCAGCAATATAACTTTTTTTAACTGAATCATAGTTTGGAATTTGAAAGTTAAGTAGCAAGTACATTTTTATTATTATTATAGAAAAGCAGAAGTATGTGTAGGTTTGGAATTCACATTTGTTTTAAAGCCCACTTTGTCAATGTTTTCAGTTAATGAATCAGTGTGATCTGTACCTCTGTGGAGGTGCAGCAGAGGTTTGGGCTTCATCAGGGCTCCGTCTGCTCCTCCTTCCTTCAAGGCTTCCTCAACCTCCTCCTCTCTCAGGACTCCCTGCCCTCCTGCCTGGAGCTCTATGTCCGGGGAAGGAGCGCCGCTGTTCAGCCCGGGTTCAGAGCTGCTGCCTGGGGGTACAACAGGAGACTGCTCCCTCTCAGGGTCTGGGTCTGCCATCTGAGAGGAATTACATATATTCACACATTATGATTATCTGGCAGCATTTATGGCATTATTAATGAATATAATATATTATGCCATATAAATGGGATTCTGGATTGGGATCCCCCAAAAAAAAACCTGTGTCCTGAAACTAATATCCTTAATTTTGTATGAATACTTTTCAAAGTAGGATAGTCAGAAGGAAAGATGATAATTTGCTAAATGAATATGCAAATGAATTTAATCATAGGACTAAGGCATTGTGAAAATGACACATTATTAACAATAAATGACTAGAATTGTGCAGAAAATTATAAAATGAAGTCACATTATCAGGAGGAGCAGAGAAACATGTCATGACACATTATTACACTTTGGAATAATTGCATAAAAATATGTAATAAAATATTTTCATAACCATCACAATTTTTGTAAAATTGTTTTATAAAACATTTTTGATAACACATAAACAAATGTCTAAAACCCAACTTAAACTCAAACATACCCAGAGAAACATGTACAAATATTATCATCTGTATTAACAATGTAAGGTTATAACAAACAAGCTATTTGCATTTATCAGATTCACTGTGTAAAAAGTCCCAATATTGACAGAAATAATAAGACAAAATAATTATTTAAAAACGATATACAGTGCAAAACAATTACGAACCTTCAATCAATGTGGTTTGGACTAAAATCTAGAAATGCCAACATCTCAATAAAACATTTTTTTGAAGCATTTTTAAATGTTCACCCCATTTCACATTTAAAAAAAAGCAGAGCGGCCCACGTGCCCTTGAGCCACAAAGTGAACTTATAATGTTGACTGACCTGAGAGCCCCTCTGAACAGTCAAAGTCACTGCTGCAAACCAGAGAATAAACTGTGAAAAAAAAGTCAGAGCCAGAGACCGAGCTGCAGAGAATTGGGAAAGTAAATTAAAACCGGCTCAGCAAAGCTACAGTTTGGCTGTTGCCTTGGTGACACAGGCAGGGAGGTGTGTGTGTGGTGTGTGTGTGTGTGTGTGTGTGTGTGTGTGTGTGTGTGTGTGTGTGTGTGTGTGTGTGTGTGTGTGTGTGTGTGTGTGTGTGTGTGTTAGTGACTCAGTAACTAAAACACAACAAAGCTGAAACCAGGAGACTGTGTGTGTTAACCAATGCAAACAGGCTGTGACCCAACATTGCTTATATTATACATTTATGAAAAATAATAGATAACGTTAACAAGTACGTGAATGACACAACATTTTGGGGAGAGCATATCATATTTGCAACAGTAAAACAACATAAAACAAATAAAGTCACAATTTAGTAAGACATCTTTTCCTGTTCCTACGTAATGAACTGATCAATGCAATGGAACATTTCTAAGAGAGAAAGATAATAAAAACAATATTTGAATACAGAACATTTCTGAAGTTATAGTATCCATATCAGGTCATAAGGCTTGTGGCCATAAGAATAAAATATGTTCCAATTGAAATAACATAAAACGATAATAGTACAATTGTTAGAAACCAGAAATAGTTTGAGGTTTGAGAAATGACACTCATTCATACATGAAGGTTGAACTGTAGAGAGAGATTCAAGACATTCAGATGACGGCTACACCCCATCGTTTGGTTGTAGGCCCAAATTCCTCAATTATCTCCACAAAACTTCATGCAAATTACTACCAAACATGACAGACATTTTTTAGTTGCTAGATATCATGTTTTTTCAAATAGTGTTCAGATTGGTCAAACAATACAGTAGGTCCGCAGTGACATTCACTGTCTTACTATACTAAGTACTGCAAGCACAACATTCTTTAGTGATCAAACTACAACGTATCTAAGAATATAAACAAAATCAGCAATTAATTGATTAATTTCAAAACTTTATCAACATTTTGAAAAGACAGACATATCAGTTATATAATGGCATCACATGTGGATTCAGAGATCCAGGGTTTGTTACCCCAATGGGCTCCTCTGATTATTGAACCAATTTCACCAAAATCTATAACAATACACCTGAGAAAAGCAGGATGCATGGAGGTTCCCGGTAATTGTTTACCACCATCAGTAGACTATAACCTTATATTTTAAGGTTCATTAAATGTATACAAACATTCAAACAATTTAGGCTACACACGTCACTTTCCATCGACATTATGGATGTACAAAGAGTACTTTTTTATCATTGCAGGTTTCTGAAATAATGTATGGTTTATGTGAGAGTAAACCTAAAATGTATGCACAAAATCACAAAATCATCTTTTCATTATGTATTTTTTGGGAAGGGAGATCCGATCACATCTGGTCAAAGACTTATTCTAATGCCGGGCGCGAGGTGTCCACTTGTATCCTTGCTCAGTCAGAGCTGAAGATGCTTCAATCTCTGTGGATCATCAGGAGAGCCGTTCCTCTCAGGCTTCACCCTTTCTCATCGCTCACTCCTCAGTGAGATTACTTCCATCTGGTAAGAGAAGAAGAGATAAATCAGTGTTTATCGACTCCCTTCATCAGCTCTCATGTTAATGTATCAACCCTCACATACCTGCAGAGACTTAAGACTGAAGTTGTAACGGAAATACACTGTACCGAATGCATAATTAATGCAGAAACAGATAAATATTCACGGCTCTCTTTAAGGATGGATTTACTGCTGTTAAGCTGTCCAAAGCAGAAGCAAGAAGAAGAGAAGAACATCTGCTGTGTGATATCACTTTCATCACTCATCTTTGTATTAATGGCAACCGGAATATAGGACATTGGAACACTTGAACTGAATTACCATTACAGGAATGGAGTGTAAGTGAGTCGCTTAGGATAAAAGCATCAGCTAAATAACATGAAAGGTAATGTCAAAATTATTTGGGCAAAAGAAATTAAACAAGCACAAACATTTTTAACGCCTTCTCTTAAAGATGAAAAGTAACACTTTTTCTTAGACTACAGCAAAAGGGGTTTGTTGTTCTGTACAAAGTCCAAACATTTGTTAAATGTAATTATAGTTATTTAAATTAGAACAATGCTGTGTCTCAAATCGCATACTTATATGAACTGTTTTGAGTACAGTGCAAAGTATGGAGAAAGGCAGTGCACTCTGAGTAACGTTTAAAGAGTAGTTTGGAACGCTGTACACTTCTCACACAACAATCGCCATCCTGGCTACCAGCCGTTATTGCAACTGCTGGTTGTGATCTATCATTTTTACTGATAAACTAAATTCACACACTGGACAAGTGTTTACGATGTTAGAGTTTTGTAGGCAAATAACTTTAACCCTTTACTGACCTCAGAGTCTCCAGGCTACAGTCAGGACTTTCCAAAAGATCACAGAGCAGCTTCACTGCTGAATCCTGCAGCTTGTTGTCCCTCAGGTCCAGCTTTCTCAGGTGGGAGGGGTTGGACTTCAGAGCTGAGGCCAGAGAAACACAGCTGCTCTCCAACAAACTGCAGCCACCCAGTCTGAAGAGAGAATAGATATACTTGATATGACAATGGGCCTCATGTAAGAACATGACATGATTTGTTCCTATCCAAGATCAGCCTGGCTCCATCTATATCCAACAAATATCAAAGTTTCAAAGATGTCCGATATGTCAGGATTCATTTTTTGGAGATGAACCTACAATACACCTAAAATATTAATTGAAGGAAATGTAGTCATAAAACAAAAGGATCTACAATTTAAAAGATTTGGTCAGCATAAGCAACATATAAATGTGGGAAAAAATGCAAATACTAATGATATGTGCTAGTGGAGTGAATTATACAGTGTAATCCTTTTACTAAAGTTTTAAATTAAAGTTTAAAATCTGGTGCAGTCAATAGACTCAAATACAGAGGTACAACATACATTTAAGCATGAACTGATGTGAAACTGTTCCTAGTACTAGACTCCTGGTGGTACTAGGATGGGTTAAATGCAGAGGCCACATTTCACTATGTGTGCTGTGTGCTCTGCATGTGTGACCATTAAAGAGGGTTTCATCCCTCCGATTCTATTATCGATTCTATAATATCATAAACTCATAAAAATCACAGCGCAGAAGTAAAAATTGAAAAGTTGTCTGACCTCAGAGTCTCCAGTTTACAAGTTGGATTCTGTAGAAAATCACAGAGCAGCTTTACTGCCGAGTCCTGCAGCTTGTTTCCTCTCAGGTCCAGCTCTCTGAGATTAGAGGGGTTGGACTTCAGAGCTGAGGCCAGAGAAGTACAGCTGCCCCCTGACAAACTGCACCAACTCAACCTGGAAAACGAATAAAAGAAGAAGAAAGAAAATCCATTTATAATCCAATATATCCAGAGCTGATCAGGTTTAAATTGTGTAGTTCAAGGGTTTCCTGCAGCATATAGTACTGCAGACAGCTGTAACAATCTTTTGCAAGTGAAAACAAGCACCAAAAGGTCCATGTCCATCCCTTTGGAGTCATTTATTTACAAAAGCACATTAGCCATTTTAATTTCCAAAATTGCGACCATCTTCCAAGATGGCTGCATCTAAATAACAATAAATTGGTTAAAAGTCAAATTCAGTGCACCATCCGAGCGATATTTTTTCTAATATGTCCTGGCATCAGTAGATACACCTCGATTACCGTGCCTTTTAAGCTACCCAGTTATCCATTGGATTGGAGTGGGTAATTTAAAAAGTGGAATATGCCCCCATATCAGGTAACGGGGTTAACAGCTTAGTTAAAAAGCTTGGTATTTTGTGTTGTTCACATTTAGTTTCATTAACCCAAAAATTGATTGCCCGCGCCCACCACCTACGGGAAACAGCGATGGGGTCGGGTGCGCTGCCAGAAGGGTGGCAGTGAAAGCAGAGGGTCTCAACGGACTAGACCCGGGCGGCAGAAGCTGGCTTTGGGGACGTGGAACGTCACCTCTCTGGGGGGGAAGAAGCCGGAGCTTGTGCAGGAGGTGGAGCGTTACCAGTTGGATCTGGTGGGGCTCACCTCTACGCACAGCGTTGGCTCTGGAACCTTACTTCTTGATAGCGGTTGGACTCTATTCTTCTCCGGAGTTGCCCAAGGTGTGAGGCGCTGGGCGGGTGTTGGGCTACTCACAAGCCTCTGGTTGGGTGCTTCTTTGTTGGAGTTTACCCCAGTGGACGAGAGGGTCGCCTCCCTGCGCCTCAGGGTTATGGGGGGGGGGGGACTCTGACTGTTGTGTGTGCTTATGCACCAAACAGCAGTTCAGAGTATACAGCCTTCTTAGAGACCCTGAAAAGAGTCCTGTATGGGGCTCCTGAAGGGGACTCCTTAGTCTTGCTGGGAGACTTTAACGAATGTGGGCAATGATGGAGACACTTGGAGTGGCGTGATTGGGAGAAATGGCCCCCCTGGTCTGAACCGGAGTGGTGGTTTGTTACTGGACTTCTGTGCTAGTCATGGATTGGCCATAACAAACACCATGTTCGAACATAAGGATGCTCATAAGTGTACATGGTGCCAGAGCACCCTAGGCAGAAGGTCCATGATCGATTTTGTTATCGTATCATCGGACCTGAGGCCGTATGTTTTGAACACTCGGGTAAAGAGAGGCACGGAGTTGTCAACTGATCACCATCTGGTGGTGAGTTGGGTCGAGTGGTGGGGGAAGCCTCTGGACAGACCGGGTAAGCCCAAACGTGTGGTGCAGGTGAACTGGGAACGTCTGGAGGAGTCCCAAGTCCAGGAGGCCTTCAACTCACACCTCCGGCGGAGCTTTTCAGGCATCCCTGTGGGATGGGGACATTGAACCAGAGTGGGCGGTGTTCAAAGCCTCTATTGCCGAAGCCGCGGCGGGGAGCTGTGGTCTCAAACCCTCGAACCTCCTGGTGGCACCGGTGGTCAGGGAAGCCATCCGACTGAAGAAGGAGGCCTTCAGGGATATGTTATCCCGGGGGAGTCCCGAGGCAGTTGCAAGGTACTGACAGGCCTGAAGGACAGCAGCGTCAGCCGTGGCCGAGGCGGCAGCGGGTGTGGGAGAAGTTCGGAGAAGCCATGGAAAGGACTTTTGGTCGGCACCAAAGTTGTTCTGAAAAACCGTCCGACACCTCAGGAGGGGGAAGCAGGGAACCATCCAAGCTGTGTACAGTAAGGATGGGATGCTGTTGATCTCAACGGATAGGGTGTTAGGGCAGTGGAAGAAAAACTTTGAGGAACTCCTGAACCAGATAACTCCGCCCTCTATGGTAGAGGCAGAGCTGGAGGAGGATGGGGGATCAACACCAATCTCTCGGGGGGAGGTCACTGAGGTAGTCAAACGACTCCACAGTGGAAAATCCCCGGGGGTGGATGAGATCCGCCCAGAAATGCTGAAGGCTCTGGGTGTTGAGGGATTGTCATGGTTGACACGTCTCATCAACATTGCGTGGAAGAAGGTGGTGGTTCCCCTTTTCAAAAAGGGGGATCAGTGGGTGTATACCAATTATAGAGGCATCACACTACTCAGCCTTCCGACAATGTTTACTGTAAGCAGGGTTCTTACACCTTTTCCAAAGTCAAATTCAAGCACTTTTCAAGCATTTTCAAGGTGCATTTTCAAGCTTTTCAAGCATCTTACAGCTGTTGTAAATTACATATTTATATACACATACTTATACTCAAATGATTATTTCCCTACCTCACATTAAATCAGATGTTCTTTATGCTATAAACAACCAAATGTGTGTTTCATAATAGCATTCTACATGAGGATGACAAATTAAAATGTTTAGAAAAGAAAACTAAGTTTAATATTTCAAAATGAGTGACCCATCTGTACGTAGACTGGGCATCCCATATAACCTGGCTGAGCCAATATAAAACAATCAGCCAAATAACTTTTCAATATATTATTGATTACTATTTTTGAGGTACTTTTAGGTTGGCAGTAAACACAAGTCAGAGGTAAATGGTGTACTTTGACTCCACTACATGTATTTAATACCTTTAGTTACTTTACAGATGTGGATGAATGATGTGAAATATAATCAAGTGTTAAATCAGACTTTAGTTCCACCTGGAGTAAATTTACAAGCTACTCTGTAGTATACAAAGTCATTCAAACTAGCTGCAACTTTACCAGCTTTGATAACACTTTCATGATCAATAATTATAAAACATATCATATACAATTATTTGGAATGCTCCGATCGCCAATTTTGGAGCCGATCGCCGGAATCAGTATCGGCCGATACCGATATCGCTCTCTTTTCCTCTCTCCCCCTCTCCCCCCCTCTCTCTCTCTCCTGACAGCCCGTCAGTATCTCCTGCAGCTCACTGATCCAGTAATGAGCGACCCGACAGTGAAGAATAAATATATTTATAACTAGTTTAGCTTGTTCCAGAGGTAGATAAAATAGCTAAGTGTGTTAGGTCTAACTCTTAATGTGTGTTCTGCTCCGCTCACCGGTCCGTCACAGCGGGTGGAGCTGCAGCATTTCTGCTTCACACACGTTGCATACCACTATTTTATTGTCATTTTCGGACACTTAAAATACTGCCAGACTAGTGAAGCCATTTTGGCGAGCTTGTTTTGCCGCGCACTGAGAAAAGTGTCATGTATTTTACATGCAACGATAGCCTAATCTAAAATGTTCTACTACAGCGTACCTTTTGTGTGGTGTGTGGCTCGTCAGCGCAGACTCTCGCATCGTTATTGTTGCACACTTTGCAGGAGGCTACTCTTGGGCTTCGCTTGACCCTCGTCTTAGCCATGGCTTGTATTTGTCTTCTGCTAGCCAACGCTCGTTGAAATGGCAACCTCCTGGCATACTGTCATCTATCACTCTCATCAGAATGCCCTGGTCACACACGTAACAAAAACACTTGCCGGTCACGCGCATAGCGCGGGAAGGCCGGAGCGGAGCTGTTTTATGTAAAAGCGAAGCAATTAAGCGCGCTCCGACTTCTTTATTTTCTTTTAATCTAAAAAGCGAAGTAAAGCATTTACAATTTCAAGCACTTTATCCCAAATTCAAGCACCATTCCCAAAATTCAAGCACTTTTCAAACCTTGAAAACACCTCGTACAATTTCAAGCATTTTCAAGGATTTCCAGCACCCGTACGCACCCTGTGTAAGGTACTGGAAAGGAGGGTCCAGCCGATAGTCGAACGTCAGATTGAGGAGGAACAATGCGGATATTCCTCCTGTCTAACGGGCCATTTTTGTTCCTACCCTCACCTATGGGCATAAAGGATGGGTCGAGACCGAAAGAACGAGATCGCAGATACAAGCGGCAGAGATGGGTGTTCTCCGCAGGGTGGCTGCCATCTCCCTTAGGGATAAGGTGAGAAGTTCAGTCATCCGGGAGGGACTCGGAGTAGAACCGCTGCTCCTTCGCGTTGAAAGGAGCCAGTTGTGGTGGTTCGGGCACCTAGTAAGGATGCCACCTGGGCACGTCCCTAGGGAGGTGTTCCAGGCACGTCCAGCTGGGAGGAGACCGAGGGGTAGAACGAGGACCAGGTGGAGGGATTATATCTCTTCGCTGGCCTGGGAGCGCCTTGGAATCCCCCAGTCAGAGCTGGTTGATTTTGTGTTGTTCACATTTAGTTTAATTAACCCAAACATTAAGCTCCACTATAACATTTTTATCATGTTTGAACTGTAATTTGAATATGAAATTAAAAAGTCACAGCCTCATGCATATTTCCAAGCTAGAAAGCCAGTTTGAATCTAATGTTATATTATCACAAGGATGATGTATGCCACAGAATGCCGTTGAGGAAGGCTGTGTTAAGTTCACTCGCCTTGTGTTCTCAGGGGCCTCATTTATAAAGGGATATACGCTCAAAAAATGGCGTACGCCAGTTTCTACGCGATGTTTGCGATTTATAAAATACTAACTTGACGGGAAAATGTGCTGTCCTCCACGCAAACTCTAACCCATGCGTACGCACTAAGCACACAAACGGGAGAGACGAGAAACTGCGACACCGTTGGCAGAAGGAAGAATGGAGAGAAATATGTGGAAATAATACCATAAATAAAATGTTACCTCTCATTTATCAAATATGAAGAATTCATTTTCAAACATTGATTAAAGCCAATCTTTAAATGATTAAACAAACGCCTGTTTGCGACTCCTCAGTGCACACAAAAACATAACTTGGAGAAATATATAAATACAGATATGTTATTTAAAACCACCTCGAATATGTTGTGTTACTGTTATGAAATGTTTTCTCATAAATGATGCGGTAAGCAGGAGGACAGAATTACGTCTAAACTGACGCCGTTTTGCATTTCTATAGGTTGTAGATACGAGCATGGTTTTATATACTATCACGTTTAATCGTGTTTTATGCCGTTTGCCAAGACTTGATAAGTCGCTCGTAAAACACAGGAGGTATGGAAACTAAGAACACCATATGTGGTAAATTGTACAGCTAATATAACACAACACATTAGTTGTATTTCCTTTAACTGGTGGATTATGGATATATAGTTGCTGATCGACAGCTGGAACACAAACCACCAAATACAACAAAAATAATTCAGATCCAGTCGTCATGACTCCACTCCGGAGGGATTCCCCGATCATTTCTTACAGTTTCTCATCAAGGGGGTGTCTCCTGTCCCCGGGACAAACACACTGCCTGAGGAAGGTTATGTGTAATTTTTTTGTCATTAACTTTTTTCGGACCACTTATTTATTTATTTTGGTGACGATCCGACCTCCATGCTGCTACTCTGGTTCAAACTGCATCCACCAAACAATATGATTTATCTCGACCTCCCCACAATAACCAAAATCTGACACGGTGTGAGATGTCTTTTTTAGCTGTTCTATCGTAATTTCCTGCGATCTTCTTCATGCAGTCAGTCAAAATGAATGAATGAATGGGCGTTTCTTTGACTATTTATAGGCAAATATGGGCGTTACGTGAAGCCTGCAAAAGCTGCGCCGCATTTCGAGTTGATTGTGATTTATAAAAGGAAACAGGCGTAGGAAGTGCCGGTACGCACTTCCCTCGCCGGTACGCAATGTTTTGTGAATCGGAAAATGTCTGAACATTTCTGTACCTATTTTTTTGCTTTGTACTACGTAAGCAACCTTCTCACGTCAATCCTACGCAAGGCGTTATAAATGAGGCCCCTGGTCACCAAATTGAGGAGCTTGGTGGAGCAATTAGGAAAACTATACTTTACTGTATGTTTACTTATTCTTAATTCTCTCTCACTCAGTTGCCTCTAATGTGATGTTGCACTTTAACTGTGAACTTTCAAAAACGCTGCAAATATAAAAAGTAAACGTGCCAAAAACAATGTAAATTAAGAAACATATTCATCAACTTGACAACAAATGCACAGTATTAAGAAAACATTCAAAAACTTGACGAAACATGCGTTTACTAAAAGCATAAATGAAACACTGCAAATAAAAAACACTGCAAATACAAAAACAATGCAAGACGCTCGAAACACATGGAAAACCAGGGGACACTAACACACAGCTGGGACCGGAGTGCTTGCTGACGTTCGGGGATTATAAAGTTGGCCAAATGTCACTGTTGGCAGTGAAGATGTTTCTTCATTTGCATGTGTTTTGGCACATTTGTGTTTTTCTTTTCTTTTGCATTGATTTTAGACTGCAGCACGTTTCTCCAAATGGAAAAGTTTGTTTGTGCCTCTGTAGAGCGTTTTCACCTGTCTGCCAACATAGACCTCCCTTTTAAGATAGATAATATCACGATGGGGTCTAATCGCCAAAGACTATTCTGTAATCTTTTGCACAGGTTAATAAATATTCTTTAATTAAGAAATAAGTCTCTCCTGATTGAAAATAACGTAGCGTCTATCCATACAATTACAGGATTATACCGAAAATATTTTAGAGGAATAGGCAACTGATGCAATACAGAATATATGTAGATAGATAGAGACGGGGTACTGACCTCAGAGCCTTCAGTCTACAGTGTGGACTCTCCAGAAAGTCACAGAGCAGCTGCACTCCTGAATCCTGCAGGCTGTGGTTGTAGCTCAGCTCCAGCTCCCTCAGGTTGGGGGGGTTGGACTTCAGAGCAGAGGCCAGAGCAACACAGCTGATCTCTGATAACCTGCAGGAACTCAATCTGGAAAAATAATGTACAGCACAGTTGTGTATAGTTACGCTATGAACCCAAGCTTTTCCCCTTTGTTGAATGATTATGTCATTCATGTGGATCATTATAACATCACCGTTGTACAGACACCATCTAAATGTAACCAGTGTTGGGCAAGTTGCTTCCAAAATATTATACAGTACATATTACTTATTACTGTCTTTTTTAAGTAATAAGTTACATTACAATATTACTGTCTCTGAAATGTAATGAGTTACACTACTTTTAAATTACTTTTGAGTTACTTTCACCAAAATAACCGCAAAAGAATGGCTCGGTATTTTAAATGCTAAAATGTAGTTTAGTGCAGCTCATTATATATCCAGTGAAGGGCAATGCGGTATAGCATAACAACTATGTAGGCCATTAAGGCTACTCACAACTTTTATTACACGGCTTGGTCAGGGTTCGAGTTATAAACTGAGCTCTATGGGGGTCTTTAAATCTAACACACACACACACACACACACACACACACACACACACACACACACACACACACACACACACACACACACACACACACACACACACACACACACACACACACACACACACACACACACACACACACACACACACACACACACACACACAGCAGCCCTCTACTTGCTACAAACTTAAATATGAAAAGGTTCAACTATGCACACACACATCATCTCGGCTCGCGCAGCACGCTCACAGGCATAGATTGCGCAATAATGTATTGTGCACCTTGGAGGTGCAGTGCAGGCATATTGTCATTCAAAAGATGCGTAGTTCTTTTGGAAAACATGTTTTTCTTTAGGGTGATCAGGGAACCCGACGCGAAGCGGAGGGATCTTGATGAACCCGAAGGGTAAACACCAGGTTTACTAATCTACCCGCACAATTTTTCTCTTGTGTTGGAATGTCTCGCGATGTTAGTGAATTCTTAAAAAACAAACACCATTTAATTTCGGGTTAAAATGTGTTACTGAGAATTGTAATGGGTAGTATATTACCCAAATGTCCTTAGTAATGCGTTACATTACTTAGTTACAGCAAAAAGTAATACATTACTGTAACTCCGTTACTTTTGTAATGCGTAACACTGAATGTAACCAATATAGTTATACACCTATTCATTCTCAATATGGCAGAATCAGCTTTAAGGGCAGAGAATGTTAACACACAAGGAATTCAACTCCGGTTTTAAGGTCCTCTTTAGGGGCAAATTAAAGAAGAAAGTAATCAAATTAGATGTAGTATCATATAGTTAATTTAAATAATTAGAATCTTTTAGCGTGCCAGACAGGCTGTGCTTGTTGTGTGTTATGTTTAGTTTTTTCCCTCCTCCTCTTCACTTTTTTCTTTCTCCTCCCTGATTTCCTTTCCAGGGGATAACCAGCCAATGGGTTCCTACCTATATAGGAATACATAATATATATTGTGGTCTGCTGATGCCTCCTGAGCTATAGTGAGTCTTGTTAAAATAGAAAAAGGTCACATGTGTGTGATGGGAGGTTGAGGAAGTAGATGAGTTTGGGGTACTTTTTATATACTTTTTATATACCCTTATCACGTGGTTGAACTTTGTTTGGGAATGATCGGTTTGTTGAATGTTGCCAGCCCTGTGAATTCTTCAGGAGCATCTTAGTATAAAAAGTAGTGAGGGCTTGTGTTTGTGTTATGTTTAAAAACGGCAGAATTAGCTTACTATGCCTAGTTAAGTTATATGTGTTTATTTGTTTGTCACAATCATCTTGCCCTCCCTCTCCTTTTAAATTACATATATCCTGATGAAGATTTCCACCATATCACATGGTTATGTGAAAACAAAAGCAGCAGAAACTGACCTCAGAGTCCGGAGTCTACAGTGTGGACTGTCCAGTCCAGTGGACAGCAGCTTCACCGCTGAGTCCTTCAGACTGTTGTTGCTCAGGTCCAGTTCTTTCAGGTGGGAGGGATCGGACTTCAGGGCTGAGGCCACAACTTCAAAGTGAGGGTCTGAAAGCCCAGAGTTCTGAAGTCTGTGAATACAGAAACATGTCAAATTTGTCATAGTCATATTATTATAAAGGAACTAAGAAAAAACTTTTCATAAAGCAGTTGTTAACAATAGGCGCGTTCACACCAAGTACTTTTCCCACAGTAGTTCCTGAGAACTTTAGTTCATGAGAGCTCTTTTAGTTCTGATGAACTAAAGCAGATCGCGTTCACACCAAAATGAGTTCCTGGGGGTGGATTAGGCAAATGAGCCGCTGACGTCACTTCTTCTTCTTCTGCTTTGGGTTTACTGGCAGGCCGCAAACAACTTCACGGCGAGTACAGTAGGTGGCGGTATGCACCTTAAAGTTGCAATCCGCCAAAAAACCGAGAGAAGAAGAAAAAAAACTTCCGCTTCCGCTGTATGCTTCTGTTTACCTTCCGACCTCAGACACGGTATGGAGTTGACGTTTTGATGGTCGTGTTATACAGCTTCGTAACGGAGTTATTTAAGCCAATAACTCAGCCACAAATACAAATACAGATCGACCATTCAAATGCAATAGAAATGCTGAGTCGGAGGCGAAGGCGGTTAAGAAGCCTTAACAAAAGGATTAGACGACGAAATCACACGCTATGGACATGTTTCGCCGTTGTACAGCCGAGGATGATGGCCGTTATTACGCCCAAAGAACAGCAATGGTACGTTCATTAAATCACATTAATACTATCTAATGTAGGATTTATGGAGTTATGTAGGGCTAATTTGTGTCTTTGTATGTGTTCCAGATATGCGAATACTACGGAACTCTGGGTGAACAATAGAACGTCGGCCTGGTGGGAGGTGGTGCCAACGTGTGCAGTGGATCGAAGATTTCCGAATGTCCAAGGGCTCTTTTCAACTCCTCTGTATTCGCCTGGAAGCAACGTTGTGGAGAGGCATCTGAACAGCATGGAAATTGTAAATTGACAATAAAGCTGATATTTTGTACAGTGCATTTGGTTCTCTTTTATTTACCAGTCAACAGACACAATTACAATAGTGCAGACACACCTTAGTGCAAAGATTAAATGTCAGTATCAAAACAGTACTCATACTGTATATTTGTATATTAATGAGTATATTATGTTAAATGTGTGTTAAAGACAATGGGATGAGGTTGAAAGCTCTTTAAAAACGTTTGTATACATACATGTTAAGCATGCACACCTGAAGAACTACGTTACACACACACAGGTTAGTCTGTGTACCGCTGCACTGCTGCTGGTTTAAACAAAGACAGTCATGATGCTAGTGCCGTGCATGTAGGTTCTCTTTTATTTATCAGCAGCAGATCAATAAGTGTCAGTAGTATCAAAACAATATAATAACAGTGGCAATAATATATATATATATATACACACACACATATATATATATATATATATAAAATAACAATAGGTAGGCTCAGCAGCAGACACACCTTAGTGCAAAGTTAGGTGTCAGTATTAATAACAGTGGCATATATATATAATCACAATAATACAAATTAACTGTCACAGGTGTAGGCAATTTGGGGTGAAGTGTCTTGCCCAGGGACACAACGACATCCTGACTGCAGTGGGGTTTGAACCTGTGCTCCCCTGATCCGAACACCAACGCACCAGACCACTGCACGACACGCCTCCCAACAAGTCATTGTACAGTTTATCAACGACAAGTTTTTCTTAATTTTTGTATTGAAGGCCTGTTGGATTTAATCAGCTTGTTTAGCACTGCCAGAAGCCCAGCCAGAAAGGTATTTTGTTGCTCCACCTCGATTCCTGGGCCTTGTGTGAATGCAGCAGCCGTTCGTCGTGCATCTCCTTGGCACGCAGGTCCTCATTCTCCTTGCTGACCATGGCACGGCGGGCCATCGCCATGATGGTGTCAAGGAAGCTGTCATCGCGTGCCCACTTTCCTAAGGTGAAATATGCAAGATACAAGATCAGTTTAATCGCAACAACGACACAACATTGTCCAAATCTGTCTCTGCAGGCACACAACAGGAGGAACACAGGGAACACCTTTGATTTGACTATTAACATTTTAAATGGTGAAGGCACTAGCAATTGGGGGATGGAGGGCTCTCAGGACATGATAGGGAGGCGTCTGGCGCAGTGGATAAGTGCATTGGTGTTCGGATCAGGGGAGCACAGGTTCAAACCCCACTGCAGTCAGCATGTCGTTGTGTCTCTGAGACACTTCACCCCAAAGTGCTCCTGTGGGGATTGCCCACAGTATTGAGTATGTAAGCTTTGGATAAAAGCGTCTAACAAGTGACATGTAATGATTCAAAAAGCTTTTGAATATTGAATAACAAACCAATGTGGTTTACTTGTTATCCACAGTTTAGCTGCTAAATGTTTTTTAGCAATGCTTTTCTTTGTGCTCCACATATCTAAATGTATAAAGTGTGTTTTCACCTCCGTTCCCTCCTGTTTGCTGCAGTATGGCAGCAGCGGTCAGGATGGACCGGGCACAGGGTGTGGAGCTGCCTACTCTCAGCGGGGGGGAACTGAACGTGGAAACTGTGTTTCTCTGAGGGATCCTCCATGTAGTCTGAGAAGCCTTCTGAGGAAACAAGGTCAAACTATTTAGGATAATACAAGGAACAATGTTTAGGCAGTAAATAGAATTTCAATTACATTTCTACTTCAATGTGCAAAAATATTAGAACATCAGTCTTTGTGGCATGCAGGTAATCAACTGTTTAAGCTTTTACCATTAACATGTAGAATGAATGTTGCAAATTACTTGAAATTATAGCAACTACAATCTATTGTTTACCTCTAAGCATTAGCCACAGAGGTAGCATTATGTCCAGCTAGCATGCTAATTGCTAACGTTATATTATCGTTTTATCCCGGAGGGGAAAACTAGTTTCTAATCCTGAGAGAAACACCTCGCCTGAAACACACGATTAGTGCCATGAGTTAGTGAAGCAAATTACAGAACATTGCACACTTATTCACAAGTCAAAACGTGTTCATAGCGGGCATGGATGAGAATAGCTAGCTAGCTAGATGTTATTAGCCAGCTTGGACCTAACGTTAGCAAGTTCTAGCATGGCTAGCTCGATCTACTGAGCAAATAAAAGTACATCTAAGACCAGTATTGTGCAGATTAAAACAGTGCAGTGCATTTTACCTTGGTAGTCGTCCCGACATGACTTTGCCAGGTCTGCTAACTTTGCAGAGCCACAGAAACTGCATTCAGTAGAAGCTTCTGAATGTGGCGCTTCGCGTCCTCCGAGTCAATCGCCAGAAGCGCAGACACATCCTCATCCTCATCACTCCACCGCTCCAATTGATTTATTTAGTGTTGCTATAATAACTGCTTTCACAAAAGGAATCTCTTCGTGTGTGCTGCGAAGCGAGGAAATACAATGGGCGCTTACAACAAAAAATTCTGAGTCAAACGGGCGTGGTTTGCATTCCGCACAGCCAATCAGACGTACGAACTACTTTCTCCCACGACAGGCCCTGCTCTCTAGCAGGGCCTGACAAGCCGGTCTGAAGAACTAAGTTGAGCTACTTTAGTTCCTGGGGCTTTTTGGTGTGAACGCAAATATATCGTAGTTCTGATGAACTATTGTGGGAAAAGTACACCAAAGTACTCCGGTGTGAACGCACCTATAGGATACTGTTAGAATCACTCATATTCATTTATAGATCAATGCAGGCTGCTTCAATTTAAAAGACAATTCTAAAATATAGAGTTATTTGGACAACATTACATTTTGTGATGTTTTAGATAATATTAGACTATATTTATTAAAAGTTATTAAGGACAATGATTATGTTTGTGGTGCATCCATCATGCTGAGCTAAGCATATTAGGATCATTACCCATGTACAACAACTTTCTTACTTGCTGGTACTAGGCAGAATTAGGATGTTGTTGAGTGGAAAAATCTTACTTAAAGTGGACCTATTATGCTATATTGGAAAAAAATATTGTAGGGCCATACCTATACAAAACATGTCTCTGAAGTTTTTTGCTTAAAATACCAAACAGTTCACCCATTGTAGCCATGCCTCATACTGCTCATACCCCTCTTTTGCAGCCCTGTTAGAGAAACGCGGATTTTAGGTCCTTAGCTTGAAAAAATAAAAAAAGGAGGCGGGGCTAATGCCTGATCAGAATTCTACCGGAGATAAAGTTAAATTCTGCTGTGATAAAACGCCATGCTGTTCTAAACCACATAAAGGATTATTTCTGAAACAGTATGGAGCTCAAATGCTTTTTCTCTTGCGGGTTTATCACAAGGTGAGTTCCTTTTTTTATTTCCTGCTTTTTAACACTAGAACCGCCAATCGGGTCAATTTGACCCAGAGCTGTTTTTTATTGCGTGTAACTTTTTTTCAATAAAATAATAAAGTCTTCCAGTATGTGACTTTTCCTGAAAGTGTGTTATGTAGCACCCTATGTTGTTAAAAATTGTCAATATGAAGTCAGATTGAAGAAATCGCCCCAAAAATTGCCATTTATACCTATTTCCGCCCAGCGGGTCATATTGACCCCACCCCTTTTCATATAAACATGACGTGTTGCTATAGCAACGCCTTTTGTCTACTGCGGTTCCTTATAGATTGAGAGATAGATTGAGAGAGAGAGAGATAGATGGATAGATATATTGATAGATAGTTATAGATAGAGAGAGAGAGAGAGAGAGAGAGAGAGAGAGAGAGAGAGAGAGAGAGAGAGAGAGAGAGAGAGATAGAGACAGTCTGTAGTGAAGGAGTGCGCTCACGGGAGACTGCTCGCGCTGCGCTCCGCAGCAAACAGCTGTGGGGCGAGTTGAAAGTACGTTATGCTGGCCGCGGTGTCTAAATAATGCTTCCGGGCCAGCGGGCCATTTATAATGTCGAGCCCTGTCAAGCTGAGAGTCCACAGATTCTATTGGTATACGTTTCATCCCTGTGCGATCAAAACTCACTGTTCAATAAAAGAACATTTTACCTTGAAAATCAATGCATTCTAATAGCGGGTCAATTTGACCCAGGTGGCGGTTTTAGGTATAAAAAATCTCTGGCGGTTCTAGTGTTAAACACATGTGCTCTACAGTACAGGTTAGCTCTGAGTGTTAGCGAGGCTTGCTAATGTAAACAAAGACGAGATTACGTCCAAAACACGTCAGGCATTGTTTCTGATAGCAACTTTCTGTGGGTCCGCTGCTGATTTGACGTCATATCGGCAGCAAATCTGTATCCGCTCGTTGTACCCCCGTTTTTAAAAGATTTGGGTATGGAGGAAACGAGAAAGGGTTTTATTTTCTGACGCTGCGTGAGTTCCCCGACGCACCGGGGACACATATTTATGTATAAAAGACATTAACAAGTGCATTTTGCATGATAGGTCCCCTTTTAAAGCCTTTAAGGCTTATTATCTGTAGTATAGTTAAATAATGCATTAAGTGCTCTTTATTGACTAAGGGATTCTGAGAGATTGCTGAAGTTACACAAATATGTTCCGCGATGTCAGAGGGATTGATAATTTTTGAAATACTATTCATATTATAAATAAAAGAATATGTTAAAATGATCAAGGTGTGATTTTTTTTTTTTAAATCAGGAGCAAACTAAGTTTTTCATAAAGTTTGTAGAATATGGTTTGTAGGCTGGGCAGCGCCAGAATTATATTGCCACATATTTACTCTTTAGCAAATATAGCTCTTACTGCGATTTGGCTATTGCACTGCTTCTTTTGCATTGAAAGGCTCAATCCTAGAGAAAGAAGACGTATAAACGGTGTGATTGAGGATCTATAACTGTACATTATTGTTTTTTTTTTCAATAATAACACATGTACTTACACAGCCTTCCTGCAATTCCTGACAGCTGGAAGCAGTCTCAGTTGTCCCTGGTCTGATGTGTTGTACTTCTTCAGGTCCACCTCATCCAGAACCTCCTCTGACATCTGCAGCATGTAGGCCAGCGCTGAGCAGTGGATCTCAGAGAGCATCTTCTCTGATCTGTTGCCTGACTTCAGAAACTCTTGTATATCCTGATGTACCGATTGGTCGTTCATCTCCATCAGACAGTGGAACATGTTGATGCTTCGGTCGGGGGATATTTCGTCCATGTTCGTCTCCTTCAGGTTGTTGATGGCACTCTGGATGATTTGCGGACTATTTTGTTTCAGACCCAGCAGGCCTCCTAAGACTTTCTGGTTGGACTCCAGAGAGAGGCCATGAAGGAAGCGGACAAACAGGTCCAGGTGGCCATTTTTACTCTTTAGAGATTTTGTCATGGCTCTACTCAAGAACACTGTCAACAGAGAGTCACTGTCATCACATTTAAGAGACTCAGAGTAGTCAAGGGTCCCACAATCCTTTTTATCAACTTTCTTGTTTTCACTTCTATCATCATGTCTGTCATATTCATCAGCATAGTCATCTTCATCATAATATTGTCCTTCTTCATCATCATATTGTTCCTCTTCATCAGTGTAACCTTCAAATTCAAGTTCATCAGCATAATCATCTTCATCATAATCTGGTCCATCTTCATGTTTTGACAGAGAGGAGTTTTGTTTTGCCAGGGAGGAGTTTTGTTCTACCAGGGAGGAGTTTTGTTCTGCCAGGAAGGAGTTTTGTTCTGCCAGGGAGGAGTTTTGTTCTGCCAGGGAGGAGTTTTGTTCTGACGGAGAGGAGTTTTGTTCTGCCAGGAAAGCTTCCAGTACCTCTGAGTTTCCGTTGGTGTAACAGTGGTACAAGTAGACTGCAGCCAGAAACTCCTGAATGCTCAGATGAACAAAGCAGTAGACCGCTTTCTGGAAGATCACTCTCTCTCTTTTGAAGATCTCTGTACAAACTCCGGAGAACACCAAGGCCTCCGTGACATCAAGACCACACTGCTTCAAGTCTTCTTCATAGAACATGATGTTGCCTTTCTCCAGATGTTCAAACGCCAGCCTCCCCAGCTTCAGGAGAACTTCCACGTCAGCCTTCGTCAGTTCCTGCGGACTCTTCTCTTGTTCCTCATCATACTTCTGCTTCTTCCTCTTTGTCTGAACCAGCAGGAAGTGTGCATACATGTTAGTCAGGGTCTTGGGCAGATCCTCTTTCTGGTCCATGGTCAACATGTGGTCCAGAACTGCAGCAGTGATCCAGCAAAAGACTGGGATCAGACACATGATGTGGAGGCTCCTGGAGGTCTTGATGTGAGAAATTATTCTATTGCATGGTTCTTCATCACTGAATCTCCTCCTGAAGTACTCTTCCTTCTGGGTGTCAGTGAAACCTCTGACTTCTGTTACTCTGTCAACAAATAATGGAGGGATCTGATTGGCTGCTGCTGGTCGGGTAGTTATCCAGACAAGAGCCGAGGGAAGCAGCTCCCCCCTGATGAGATTTGTCAACAGCACGTTGACTGATGACTTCTGCGTGACATCGGACACAACCTCATTGTTTTTGAAATCCAGAGAAAGTCTGCTTTCATCCAGGCCGTCAAAGATGAACAAAACTTTAGAGACAGCGAGGAGCTCTGCTGTGACCTTCTGTAAAGTTGGATGGAAAACATGAAGCAGCCTGAGAAGACTGTACTGCTCATTTTTGATCAAGTTCAGCTCCCTGAAGGAAAGCAGAATCACCAGATCGACATCTTGGTTTTCCAAATCTTCTGCCCAGTCCAGAGTGAACTTTTGCACTGAGAAGGTTTTACCAATGCCAGCGACGCCGACAGTCAGAACCACTCTGATTTGGTCCTCTTGGTCAACTAAGGCTTTAAAGATGTCGTGGACCTTGATAGGAGTGTCATTGGCGGTCTCCATCTTGGACGCTGTCTCAAGCTGCCACACCTCGTGTTGGGCATTAACCTCTTCACTCTGCCCCTCTGTGATGTAGAGCTCTGTGTAGATCCTGTTGAGTGGCGTGACACTTCCTGTTTTGTCAGTTCCTTCAGTCACACATTCAAATATCTTCCTCTGGCTGATCTTATGTTCATCTAAAACCTTTTGTAGACCACTATCTGATAAAAAAGAAGGAAAGTCACTGTGTCAGATAAAGGTGAATGACAGGAGGAGGAAATCGTTTTCCTTTCACTCATGTATTAACACAGATGTAATGCAGAGTCCAATAATAATGTTGTGTGCTCCTAGACTAGACAAGCAAGTGAGTAAAGACTAGGGATGGGTATCGTTAAGGTTTTAACGGTACTACTACTTTTATCGATACCGCTTATCGGTCCGGTCTTTTAACGGTACTCTTATCGGTTCTTTTGGAGAGAAAAATGAGGTAAACTAACTATATGTTGTATGTCAGGGACTACGGATGGAAATTAGCTCAAAGCTAAAATCCGGCATATTTACACTTGAAGCATTATTTGTCTAAAGTGTTCATTAATGTGCATTGTCCCTATTCAAATAAACAATTAAATGAAAATTAACAAATTGTGAACAAAACTAACATTGCTTTTTATTTAAATGAAATACATAATATTTCACATCAACAGAAACAACAACGTTTTAACAAATCATATTAAATAATCTGATGACAGAACTGTGAACAGAATGGCTGAAACTTTAACTAACTAAATAACTCAGTTCCCTCTAATCATTAACCCATGTTTGAATCATTGAGTTAGCTTCGTGTGTTGCTGCTAGCATACATAATATACCTGACGTGGAAACGTTACTCGTGGATGGGGCTACAGAGCTACAGTACTAGAGAGACAGTCGAACCCGGTGCATTTCTCCGTCTGAACGTGGTGCACTTTTGCAAGATGTTTAGACAAATTGCTCGTGTTACCGCCCTGACATGCTAAACTCTTATTGCACTTTAGGCAACGAGCGAGACGGGTAAAGTTTAACCACACATCGGAGCGCGTTCTCTCCGTCATCTCCTCCGTGTGTGTGTGTGTTGCTGCATGTAGCAGCTGCGTGTGTGTAAACTGCCCCGCCCCCTCGCACACAGGCGGGGGAGAGAGATCTCTCGTCTGGATTGGAGAGATCGAAAATACAAAGAATGACGCATTTTGCTGTCTTTTTGCATATTAGAAACGGAGTTAGCGACACTAAAACTGCAATATAATGTTTGTGTAGCAATAATACACATGACATATTTTTTAGATGTCTCCAGTACCGATAAAAAGACCGATAACGTCGGAGCTTAACGGTACCACGGTCTTTAATAATTCAGCCCCGGGGCCCGTTTAATACCGGGGCTCGGTACCCATCCCTAGTAAAGACCGAGCAATGCGACAGTATGTTGTATGTATGCTGTTGTTTCTTTGTTTGTAAAAAAATAAGGGTTGTATAGTTTCGATTCAGTGTTACATTTAAATGTTGCATGCATACTTTCATCAGAACTTTGTTTCTGACTGAGTGTGCAAAGAACTTTACTTTGTACAGTGCTGGTCTGACCTGCTGTCTGAAGTCCAAGACTTGTTCTGGATTGTTTTCCACACTGGGGACAGGAGGAGCCTCCTGATGAAGCAGACTGACCCCAGTATGAGGCGATGCATTTTCTGCAGAACAGGTGTCCACAGCTGATAGAGACCGGATCCTTCAGGACATCCTGACACAGAGCACAGCAGGGCAACATCTCCTCCACAGATACACCACTCTTCTTCCTGTTAGGAAGAAGACATATTTTCTAAACAAGGTCTTATGTTGACAACAGGTCAATAGGTCAACACTGTTTAGAAGCTCAGATAGTCAAAGAGAACATTAAAAACTGAAGTTCTTTTCTATTCTATTTCAGGATTTTTGATATCTAACTTGCATATTGGTGCTTATATAAGTCAAATACAAGCATGGTGTGTTTTGTTAATGATTAAATTGATTCATGTGAATTATTGTCTTAATATATATTTAATATGAATATTTTACTTGCATAACCAGGAGGTTAATTGTGGTTTATAATAGACACTTTGTTTGGAATTAACAAAAAAAAAGTTTGAGTTCCATGTTCAGCTTTTATTTCATTAAATAAAGTCATAGTTTTGGTATAGCGTGTTGGACTGATCACATATTTTTGTGGGCCAATTCAGAAGTGAGCATTGTAAGGGCTCCCTTGACAAAAGTCAATGGGATTTTCCATTGAAGATCTTTGGCAAAGACCGGTTAATATACTCATACATTTTGTTCTGCAGGATAATCTCTACATATTAACACCACTTTATGACCACTTTATGGCTTAATGTTAGCGACAAAGAAGCTTTGGATATTCACCAGTGTGGTATTTACTGCCATATTTGATGTCGTACAAAAACACTTATTCATCTCTTAAGCTTGTTTTGACCACAGACCTTATTTCAGGCATCTAACCACAATTGTTGATTTGGAGACCAGAGATACAGAAGTGTTAAAATGCTAACTCATTTCCGGATTTTAGGACTTTAGACTTTGTGACACCTCTGACAGCATGCGTAACCCTGCAAAAAACGTATGATTCTGTTTATGGTTCAAAATGAAAACAGTCTATTACTTTGAGTCTGAGGGTCCAGGTTCATTGCTGAAGTATGGAGGGGCCTCTTTGGAAAAGTCACTCTTCATAGACAGACAGCTGGGTGCTGGAGACTCTGCTCTCTCTCTGTTGTACAGACCTCTGGAAAAACCAAGATGTATTTAATTCTATTGCATGAATCCTTGTTCAACGATCTGATGTTGAAACCGGTTAAGTAGCTTAAACACACAAATTACTGTTACTAAAATTTGCATTAGTCCTCTTACAGCTCCTCTAAGTGTCTGACAGTTGTCACAGATACAAAGGAAGATGGAACAAATTATTTGGCTTTGTGACGCTTACGTTTGTTAAATTTAAGATAGCAAATAGTTAAAAACTTCAAAATACAAACACAAAATCAACAGACACCTAGGACAGAGATAGCTGAATATGAGCAGTTATCTTACTTTGAGTCTGAGGGTCCGGGTTCATTACTGAAGTATGGAGGGGCCTCTTTGGAAAAGTCACTCTTCATAGACAGACAGCTGGAGGCTGGAGACTCTGCTCTCTCTCTGTTGTACAGACCTCTGGAAAAACCAAGATGTATTTAAATCTATTGCATGAATCCTTGTTCAACGATCTGATGTTGAAACCTGTTAAGTAGCTTAAACACACAAATTACTGTTACTAAAATTTGCTAAAAGTCCACTTACAGCTCCTCTAACCCAGGCATGGGCAAACTAAGGCCCGCGGGCCATATACGGCCCGTTGGGCTTTTTAATCTGGCCTGCCGAATATTGGTACAAAATTGTCCAAATTACAGTAAAGACCGCATTCATTTTGTCTTTTTCCTGCAATACCTGGCATTTCAGTTGATCCCACTAGATGGCGCACTCTAGACACAAATGACCTTTGCTGGAGTCGGCAACCCAGCAAGATCTATAACCAAATACGTCACGCTTACATTGGAGGGGGTCGAGATTAACCTGAGCAATAACAGTTCACGGTTAGTACAGTACAGCGAATACAAGTTGTAACAAGCAGTAGCGCTGAGCAAAGTGACTAGAACGCAACCACACACTTATAAAAAACACTTATATAAAGTCAGGCAACACTAACCAGCTTAGTGTGATTCTGTTTATTTTGTGTAGAAAACGGTTTATGCCACAATATGATACGAGATAGTCTGATTAGCTTCGGTTGCTATGCTAACATCACCTGTAGAATGCCAGATAAACTTTCATAACAGCGTTGTGATGCCAAACAGCGTCAATTCAGACTGAAACACATTCACTGATGGGGATGGGGGATATTTATCAGCTGCTTGTGTGACAGTCGGACAGTGAATACTTTACAGCGGCCGCTGCCGTGAGTTAACAGTAGAATAAACTCCGGTGCACGAGCAGCACTGCAGCGGGCAGTAATCCCGCTGAACCACATTAACAAACAATGCACCACGGCACTCTGGAGAAAGGTATAAGGTTGGAGAAGTCGTTCTTTAATTTAATCTGGCTTCGTATGATTAAAAACTACCCGACGCAGTCCTCTATTGATGTTGTTGTGAGAGGTGTTGCGGAGAAAATCAGCGACGTAAAACGCTGTGTGGGTCATAAGAAGGCACGTAAACGGTTACGTCATGATGCAAACGATGACGCAATGACGCAATAACTCACCTTTGAACCTAATTCACCTTTGAACCTGCATCTGTAACACTAGAGGCTTCTCAATACTCTAATTTCCCCTCCTCGACTCCTCGGTCCTCCGGTAGTGACCCGGAAATGGATTTCAGCGCGCCATGTTGAAGGACATCTAATTTCTCTAAATGCACATCGAGGACCGAGCATCGAGCATCGAGGAGGCTCTCTGGAGGAGCTATAACCGAGGATACACTGATGCATCCTCCACGGCTCCTCCGCGGATGCATTTCCGGGAACGGTGGAGGGTCTCAGTTGGTTTGGTGTCCTATGCTTACTTTTAATACTTGTAAATACAACTTTTGGCCCGTCATTTCAATTCCCCATTTCAGCGACCAGAGAGGGGGGGGGGGGGGGATATATCCAGTCTCTGATTGTGTTACGTTATTATGAGAGTGCTCTCATACTTTAAATTGTATATATTTATATAAATATATGTGTGTGTATATGTCCGCATCTGTAGCCTGTTATTGTCTCATTACACCGCACTGTCAATGAATTCAAAGTAAATATATAAGTGGTCATGAACACATCTGTCCATCAGACAGAGGGTTGGCTGTGTTGAGGAGCTTGACGCTCGTGAACTATCATCAGGAGGGCGGGGGGGCCTCGCTGCGGGGAAGCAGTGTGTGGACCTGTCAGCGCAACTTACATGATACCGAATTTAACAAACACATTTAAATAATTGGTTTAAACGGCATAATAATAAGGACGATCGTCCGTTCTGTGATTCTCCAGAACACACATGTTATGATATTAGGGTCATGCAGAGTGAGATGAGATCGCTGTCCCTTTAAGAGAGAGGGAGAGGGGTGTGGCGTGTGCATGTGTGTGTGTGGATGGTAGAGCGACAGTGAGGGAGCGTGTGTATGTTTCTGGAAGTGAAACGAGGCAGCAGAAAAACAGAGGTCTGTGATGTATTTTGTGAAACAGAAGAACAGCTAAATAAATGCAACGGCCTCCCAAGAAGAGCTCGCCTCTCTCCAGTCATTTAAGCTAAAGTGGGTTATTGAACCTGAAGCTTGTTGCTTCTGCCCTCCTCGACTACGGTCTGGGAGCCGACAGGAAAGTTCAACACACAGATGGCCAGTCCGTCCCTTTGTAGCATATTATTTCAATGAGAGATGAGCAGATCGCCACTGGGCTTTCAACTAAAGACACAGCCACGCAAAAACTGCGGCATTTGTAAAGCTCCTTATGGGTACTGCAATTTGTGAAGTGCTTTCCTCTGTGGTGAAACGATCAGCCCTGCACCACGGAGGAAAGCGGCAGAAAGTCACCTGGAGTTAAACAGAGCGGGGCTGCGCTGCGTGCATGGCTTCCTTCTGCAGGTAACGGGGAGACGCGCTCTGGCGGCGGTCTTGTTCAGGATCCGAAAATACAATTTAAATATTTTGCACACTTATTCCACTTATTCCTAGTGTGCCACTGGTTACGGTGCCGCGTGCCAGCATTGGCACGCGGCACCGTAACCAGTGGCCAGTGCCAGGGGTTGCCGACCCCTGACCTAGAAGAATGTTTCTTTGATCAAAGGTTTGTTACCTTTCAGTAGGCAAACACATTTTGTTAGAAAATACCAATATACATACAAAAATGTAAAATAAACATTGCATTGGCAAGGGTAACTTGAAATGAGTCGTACTTTGAGTCTGAGGGTCCGGGTTCATTACTGAAGTATGGAGGGGCCTCTTTGGAAAAGTCACTCTTCATAGACAGACAGCTGGGTGCTGGAGAATCTGCTCTCTGTCTGCTGTACTGACCTCTGCACAATCAAGATGTATATATTTATATTGCATGAATCCTTGTTCTAATCTGATGTTGAAACCAGTTAAGTAACTTAAATACACAAATTACTGTTACTGTCAATAATTAGCAGGTTCAAAGAAATGGCATTAGTCCACTTCAGATTTGATTACAGCTTCTCTAAGTGTCTGACAGCTGCCACAGATACTAAGGAAGATGGCACGAATGATTTGGCTTTGTGACGCTTATGTTTGTTACATTTAGGATAGCAAATAGTTAAAAACGTTAACATACAAACACAAAATCTACAGACACCTAAGACAGAGATAGCTGAATATGAGTGGACGTGCAGCAGTTCTCCTACTTTGCATCTGAGGGTCCGGGTTCATTGCTGAAGTATGGAGGGGCCTCTTTGGAAAAGTCACTGATCATAGACAGACAGCTGGGTGCTGGAGACTCTGCTCTCTCTCTGCTGTACTGACCTCTGCAAACACCAATATGTTTTTAATTCGTGAATACTTGATAAATGATCTGTCAAATCCATGAGGCAGCTCTCAACCACTGAAATGTAAAGCCAATAATAAGGAGGAGGAAAAAGAGTACTTGTACTTAGATTAGATTACAACTTCTCTATGTGACTTTGATTTGTTTAATTTTATTTTACATTTAAGTAAAAATGCTTGTATACAAACAGAAAATAAAAAACATTAAATTAGCAGAGGTATACAGTATAAAGATGTGTCTTACTTTGTGTCTAAGGGTCTGGGTTCATTATTGATGTTTGGAGGGTTTTCTTTAGAATCGTCACTCTTCATAGACAGACAGCTTGGTACTGGAGACACTGCTACATCCTCACTTTCCTCCTCACAATCACTCATTTTGTGATCTGGAGGCAGTCTGAGGGGTAAAAAAAATACGGACAAACTCTGTGAAATCATAACACAAGACAAACAATAATGCATTACATTTTTATTAGAGGACTTTTCCAGGTGCTCAAAGCGCTTTACAATTACACATATTAGACATGTAATGTAATGGTCGTTACTCAAAAAAAGTAATATATTGCATATTACTTAGTAATAAATGACTTTACTTCGTTACTCTCTACATAAAGTAGTTACTTTACTTGTTACTTTACTCGCAGGGCCGCCCCTCCCTACAGGCAGATCACGCAGACTGCGGAGGGTGCTTCATTTTGCGGAGGGAGCCTCATCAGGGGCCTCATTTATAAAGGGATATACGCTCAAAAAATGGCGTACGCCAGTTTCTACGCAATGTTTGCGATTTATAAAATACTAACTTGACGGGAAAATGCAATATGGTCTAGCTGCGGCCACGGACAGTACACGACACTACACGACACGCCCACTACACGACACGCCCACCTGACACGACACTACGGTGGCTGGGAGACATTACCGTACATGGCAGATTAAAAGCGAATTGACGACACTTATTATTATTGAGATCGTACATGGCAGATTAAAAACGAATTGCAAATGTTATTGTAGCATTTTAAGCAACTATTAGGCAAATAAATTAATAACCTAGTCTATCCGTTTGAGACACAACAGTATAACTTTCAACCCAAATCATTTTGTCAACAAACGGTGGTTTAGTCAACTTTTTTTTAATATATAAAATAGGTATTAATGAGATGATCTATTGATTATGTTTGTCTAACTGCTACACATGTATTTTATACATAAATGTAGATATTTGTGAACATCTAAATATAGTTGTTAAAGGTTTTAAGATATACATTATCACATCATGGGGTCATTAAGGAACAAATTAGGAGGGCCAGTCAGGCCACTAATGAGCTCAATCATTCACATGTATTATTATTACTTTATAAATTAAAAGTACTAGGGGTCTATTACAAAACCTTTGAAGGAATCGCATAAATTAAAATAAATGTATGGCAAGTATGATCAAATTAACATAATGTCAAGATATAGCCAATAGACAATCAACATGCTTTGAATATAAAGGAAGAAGAACAATAAACAGATGAACATTTAGGTTTTATGTGTAAATTGTGAACAAACCATCTTAATACAACTGGCAGTCTAAGACAGCAAACTAAGCTTCTTTAACTGCTGCTAGAACACTGTTTTACCATGGGGTATTTCTAACAAGACCAAAAATATATACAAGGCTTCCAAAACAGAAGAAACCAACTCAATACAGTATTTTAATTTCCTTCAAAACGACAAAAGCACTAATAAAAACCAAATAACAATAACATAAAGGAAAAGTAATTGAAGTGGTTGCCTGTTGTAAATACCTTGGTATCTGGCTTGATGATTGTCTCTTCTCTAATAAGTCAAAGATATGTTTACTGTATATTATAAAAATGCTTGTCATGTAGGCATACTGGAGATGGGAAGGCTTTAGTCAGTGTTGTAGCTGAGATTCTTACCGTTCCAATGATGTATTAATAATAACTTGGATTTATATAGCGCCTTTCATGAGACCCAAGGTCGCTTTAAAAAGAACAGGAGTAGAAACAAACATAACAAAAGGCAGTTAGACGAACAGTTAGACAGACAACACAAATAGATTTGGGGCCAAAGACCTTGGCAGACTTGAGGGCCCTTTTGAAGGCGTCAAGCGTGGGGATGTTGCAGATCTCCGCAGGGAGAGCGTTCCAGAGAGTGGGGGCTGCCATACTGAAGGCTCTGTCCCCGAAGGATCGCAGGTTGGTGCGGGGGGCCAGAGTCTGAAGACCGCAGGTTCCGGGGTAGGGCATGTGGGAATTGTATTGATTTGATACAAGCAAGCCAGTGTTTCATTGTGTACTTTCAACTACAGTATATGGTCCGGCAAGTTCAGCATGCACTGCATTCACTGTGATGAATATACAATAAGACACTGATACCGTTTTCCTCAATGAACATTTATTGAACAGAACATCATGTGAAAAATGTTCCTTTTTAGTTGTAGGCTACAAAAACAACATGTTGTGGTTTTGCGCTTTGACATCAAAATGTTGGGGGCTGTGGAAATATTGTGCCATGTTGCTGCAGCAGCCGGAGCCATCACTGGAGCGGCCGTCGGAGCCATCACTGGAGCAGCCGTCGGGGCCATCACTGGAGCGGCCGTCGGGGCCATCACTGGAGCGGCCGTCGGGGCCATCACTGGAGGAGTCGTTGTGGTTGCTGGGGCCGCCGCCAACGTAGTTGGATGTTCAGTGCAGCAGTTTTTAAAGTGACTAATAAACATCTCCTTTCTCCCAATGATTCTTGGGCAAAAGCCACAGTGATAATGGCTGCTGGCCACACATTTGAGATGGCATTTATAAACATTATAACCTAAAAAAAAGAGACAGAAAGTGGTTTAGAGGATTCTAGAAACAAACCAACATGAATTTCTTGTAAATATGCAATTTGAAACAAGGTGTTTGTGCGAGAGCAATAAATAATCATGTCACCAACAATAATATTTTTGCCTATAAACTGATTTTTTGCAGATTGAATGTGTGATTATGCTCATATTGTGCCTACCCCAAATAAGGATATTTTTCCAGCATTATTAACACTTCATAACCTGAATATAAATCTAATTTTTAATGTTCAATTTATAATTCAAAATGAATTTACACCAAGGATGTCCTGGGGCACAGAAATAACACATGTATCCATAATGTGTGAGGCATTAAACACATCTAACAAGTAACATGTAATGTAATGTGATGAAGTATACAATGATCATATAGAATTATAGATGTACTTACCTCCATATTTCACAAGTGCCCTCTGGTGGCTCTGCAAATGAGCCATCAGACCAGGGTATGACCCGGTCCTTTCACAAAATGGACACTGGAAGGTGTCCGAGTCCAATTTGTTGAGCTCTGGGCGTGCTCCATCACGGAGTGTTGTGTTGTTTGTCTATAGGTGAATAAAATAGAATACAATTTCAGTGACTTTAATATTGGAAATAGTTAACTCCTTAAACAAGCAGCAATGGACTGGCCTGTATAATCCTATGGGACAAAGCTGGTCATACTTCCTCACTTTCAGAAGGTAACCCTTTAACTGCCAGCGCCACCATTTGGTAGAGCACATTTTGTGTCTTGATATCTTGTTGAAAAAAAAAAAAGTTTAACTCCATCTGATTCAGCCAGCTCTACCTTTTTGGTTGACATGTTATGCACAAAACAACCTCTAGATGTCACTGTGGTTCGAACAGAAAGCCCTTCAGCTAGTTTAAATCTTTATATATACGGTCTATGGTTTAAATGTCAGGCCTACAGCATGGCCACAAACCCCATCTAAAAACAGAGGCCTGATTGCATCCACCTGGGTTACTTGGCTCTACCCAATAACTATATATCATTTAACTTTAAACCACACTTAAAATAATAATATAATTATACATATGTGCATGTCAGTATAGCAGCTAATACATGTTTTTTTTTTAAAACATTCAAATGTGAAAGACACCTTCAATGAATATTTAAAATCAGATTCTTGTAAAAATGCGAGTACATGCATTGTTCCATCTGTCAAGCTAAAATATATACATATATCTTAGCTCTTAGCTTGACATGCTAACTGAACGAGCATGTTCAGTTAGCATATATGCTAACTGAACGTCGAACATGTCAAGCTAAGAGCTAAGATATATATATATTTATATGTATTCCATTCCTTTACATTTAATATTTAAAATACAAATTAGCTAAATAAACACAATTACACTGCGCTAAACAGCCACATCGACAAACAAACGAGAACCTAAATAGTATGTAATTATATCTAAAACCACAATACGTTAATTACCTGTACTCGGTGCGCCATATTGTTTGTCTGTTCTCTGAACCTCATGTCTCTTTAAATATCCTTGCATCAGCGTCAGTGTCGTCAATTCGCTTTTAATCTGCCATGTATGGTAATGTCTCTCAGCCACCGTAGTGTCGTGTCAGGTGGGCGTGTCGTGTAGTGGGCGTGTCGTGTAGTGTCGTGTACTGGCCGCGGCCGCAGCTAGACCCTTCTCGGAAAATGTGCTGTCCTCCACGCAAACTCTAACCCATGCGTACGCACTAAGCACACAAACGGGAGAGACGAGAAACTGCGACACCGTTGGCAGAAGGAAGAATGGAGAGAAATATGTGGAAATAATACCATAAATAAAATGTTACCTCTCATTTATCAAATATGAAGAATTCATTTTCAAACATTGATTAAAGCCAATCTTAAAATGATTAAACAAACGCCTGTTTGAGACTCCTCAGTGCACACAAAAACATAACTTGGAGAAATAAATAAATACGGATATGCTATTTAAAACCACCTCGAATATGTTGTGTTAATGTTATGAAATGTTTTCTCATAAATGATGCGGTAAGCAGGAGGACAGAATTACAACTAAACTGACGCCGTTTTGCATTTCTATAGGTTGTAGATACGAGCATGGTTTTATATACTATCACGTTTAATCGTGTTTTATGCCGTTTGCCAAGACTTGATAAGTCGCTCGTAAAACACAGGAGGTATGGAAACTAAGAACACCATATGTGGTAAATTGTACAGCTAATATAACACAACACATTAGTTGTATTTCCTTTAACTGGTGGATTATGGATATATAGTTGCTGATCGACAGCTGGAACACAAACCACCAAATACAACAAAAATAATTCAGATCCAGTCGTCATGACTCCACTCCGGAGGGATTCCCCGATCATTTCTTACAGTTTCTCATCAAGGGGGTGTCTCCTGTCCCCGGGACAAACACACTGCCTGAGGAAGGTTATGTGTATTTGTTTTGTCATTAACTTTTTTCGGACCACTTATTTATTTATTTTGGTGACGATCCGACCTCCATGCTGCTACTCTGGTTCAAACTGCATCCACCAAACAATATGATTTATCTCGACCTCCCCACAATAA